GAGAAATTCGGGTCTTGGAGGGGTCTCCAATAGAAACCCCAGAATATTAGGTTCAATGGGAAATAATGAGAAGAACTAGAACAAAGCCGGGGTTTCGGGAATTCGGTTCTTCCGCACCTTCAGCCATGAAGGCCTTGCAAGGCTAGGGTTTAAGGCAAACCCTGAGCTCTTGACCCTCGGTTCACGAACTGCAAATCCGCCCAAATGGCCACAGCTCCCAAAACCCCAAACCCCTAAACTCAAAAGGCCTGATGCCCTAAACCCTAAACCCTAAACCCTAAACCCTAAACCCTAAACCCTAAACCCTAAACCCTAAACCCTGAACCCTGAACCCTGAACCCTAAACCCTAAACCCTAAACCCTAAACCCTATAAGCCTCCAACCCTCGTACCTTTATAACAGTAGCACGCTGAAGGGCTGACAGGCGGGCGGCAAATCCAACCCCAAAAGCCCGGCAAAGCCAGGAGGTTTTACCCCCCCCCAACCCCAACGCCCCAAAACTTCGGTGTAGGGTTTAGGGTTTAGGGTTTTTCGAAAGCGCCTTTTCGGGTTTAGTTCCCTAAACTCTTTCTTAGATAGCTATCTTAGTGTTTTCTTCTATTTTTCAGTGACATTTTATATGCTTTTATCTCTTTCTGTGTTTTTTCTTTCTTTCTTTCATGCCCTAGCTTCTTCTCGGTTCTCCTTACGCTTGTCAATCCATGGCTGGTTTATTTGCATGAGTAAGTTTTCGTTCCTTGAATTTGACAGTAATTTGCGAAAAGATTCAAAAGCAAACGGTAGATCGCCAGACTGTCCAGATCGTACATTGCTTGAACCTTTCACATACTATAAGCAAATTGAGTATTCTGGCTGGTGTGGCGCAATGCAGGGAATGCTGGGGCTGACGAGCCTCCGTCCGCGCGCAGCAGCAATACGTGCGTGGCTCAATTCTGGAGATCACACGGCTGGGAGTGTGGGAGGCGCACTGCAACAGATTGCCTGAATATTGTTTGTCCTAATGTTCACGCTGGGCAAGGAGTCTGAAGCAGCCGACCGGAAAGCGGCGTGAACCGCCCGCCAAAGGAAGCGCACGGAGGAGGAAAAGAGGCTCCTTGCCAAGGCGGCGCAATGGGAGAAGGCGCGTCAGGGCCACTCGATAGTTCGACCTGTGTCATGCCCAGAGTAATAATTTGCACGTACCTCAGCGCAAGGCCAGGAAGCAGTCGGAGCGCGACCGTTTCAAGAAACAAACGGCCGACCTCAAGAAGCGGACTGATGCCGAGGTGTGGAGAGCACCTTCCATTTCTTATAACCCATGCGAAGTCTTGTTTTGGGCAGGGCAAGGTGAAGCTAGAGAACATCCGAGAGCGGGGCCGGAAGCGGCAGAATACCTACCGCTCAAACGACAACCGAGCTGTGCTGAAGGAGGTGCAGCGAAGGGCCACGCCACGAAAGATTGTGGTGCTGAAAGTGCCTCGCAGGCGGAAAAGCAGGCGGAAATGGCCGAAGAGCTAGAACGCCTGCGTGGAGAGTTTGTCCCGCCGGAGGCCAGACGATAGCCCAAAACCGGTCGTGCGACGGCGTTTCCTCATGGCTTGCAGGTCGCTCGCGAAGCAGTTGTAGCTCGAGCAAAGGCCTGGCAGGGGTGCAGGACAGTGCCGCCCGTGTGCTGCACTCGGACAGGCCGCTAGGTGCGTGACGCAGCTGCGCATCGTCAACAGCCAGATGAAGGTTGTGATGCAGGTGCTTCTGAGGAAAGAAAGAGTCGCGCGGTTGGGTGCACGCGGCCTCTTGCCATAGGAAGTTGCCTCGAACTGTACCGTTTCTGCCTCAGATTGCGACGCGCAAAGAACTAAACGAGGAGCGGTTATTTTGCGACCGGATCTGCAGGCGGCGCCGGAGAATCTCCGGAGGCTTGCCGTCAAGCGAGAGAGTCGTCAGCGAGTGCGTCGGCAGGAAGAAGAACCCGGCACTAGTCCCCTTGGCGTGCTCAGCACCCCCACAGATTCCAAAACCCCAAACCCCTAAACTCAAAAGGCCTGAAGCCCTATAAGCCTCCAGCCCTCGTACCTGAAAAAGTAGCACGCTGAAGGGCTGACAGGCGGGCGGCAAATCCCAAAAACCCGAGCACGAGTTAGCAAAGCCAGGAGGTTTCACCCACCCTTTGCATCCCAGCACCCCCAACCCCAACGCCCCAAACCTCGGTGTAGGGTCGTTTAGGGTTTAGGGTTTAGGGTTTAGGGCTTAGGGCTTAGGGTTTAGGGTTCAGCAGCTTCGGATCGAGCAGTGCTATGGTAAAGGACTTTTTACGGCTCTGATATAACCCATCCACAAAATCCCAAAACATTGAGAAAAATGAAGCGGCCAAATTCTGGAGACAAAGCGGCCAGATTCCTAAACCAAAGCGGCAAGTTCTAAACATGAAGCGGCCAGATTCTGAAAATAAAGCGGCCGAATTCTGAAAATCAAGCGGCCGAATTTTGCAAATAAAGCGGCCAATTCTGAAAACAAGGCGGCCAAATTCTGAAAATAAAGCGGCCAACTCTGAAAACAGAGCGGCCAATTCTGAAAACAAAGCGTCCAAATTCTGAGAAGAGAGCGGCCGAATTTCTGACAATACAGCGGCCAACTTCTGAAATTCAATTAGCCTTTGGCCTGATTTTGGCCGAATTTTGAAAATACGGCGGCCAAATAAAGCGGCCATTTCTGAAAATAAAGCGGCCAGACTCTAAACATGAAGCGACCAAATACTGAAAAAAACGGCAAAATTCTTGAATTCAATTAAGGCTGAAATAGATATGGTAGAGAGGGTTTGGGGTTTAGGGTTATAGGGTGATCGGGTTTAGGTGGTAGGGCAAACCCCAACCCTAAACTCTACACCCTAAACCCTAAACCCTACACCCTACACCCTACACCCTAAGCCCTAAACCCTAAACCCTAAACCCTACACCATACACCCTAAACCCTAAACCCTAAACCCTACACCCTAAACCCTAACCCCCCTCCCCCCCCCAAAGAAAAAAAACCAGGTTCACCCCATCTTCCCAGACACCGACTCGGACTTCTCCTCCAGGAAGACGGAGGCCGAAGCAGTTTCAGGGCTTTCGGGTTTTAGGGGTTTTAAGGGTTTTAGGGGGTTTAGGGGGTTAGGGGGTATTTAGGGTTCCTTTTTTGGGGGGGTTTACGGGTTTTGGGTGTTTTAGGGTTTCGGGGTAAGCCTATGAAGCTTGAAGCCGTTTTAGGGCTGGTAGGGGTTTTAGGGTTTCCCTTTTAGGGTTTTAGGGCTTTTTAGGGTTTGAGGGGATTGGCGCCTAGGAAGCTCAAAGCGCTCAGACAGGGGCATTTTTTGGGGGTTTGGGGTTTTAAGGGTTTTAGGGTTTTGGGGGTCTGGGATTTTAGTGGTTTAGGGGTTGAGGGGGGTCTTGGGTTTAAGGGTCTTAGGGTTTTAGGGATTTAAGGGTCTTAGGGTTTTCGGGGTTTTAGGGTTTTAGGGTTTTAAGGGTTTTAGGGTTTTAGGGCCGAAGTTCAAAGCCCAGAGCCATAAACCCTACTCCCCAAAGCCCAGACTCGGACGCCGAAGTTGGCGCGACCATGTGGTTATTTAGGGTTTAGGGCTTAGGGTTTAGGGTTCAGGGTCAGGGTGGTCAAGGGGGGTAGGTATCTGAGGGAAGTTTAGGGAGCCTTCGGGAGTAGTGGGGAGTATTCGGGAAATTCGGGTTACATACCCCCCCCCTTGAACCCTCCCTGAAGAGCCCTCTCAATGTGAGGGTGGGGGTTGGGGGTGCTTGTGAAGGGTTGAGGGTTGAGGGTTGAGGCCCAGGGTTTAGACTATGGGGCCGTTTACAGTGTATGGTTATAGGGTTTGGGTTTTTTGTTTAGGGTTTAGGGTGTAGGGACTGTGGAGAGACGAAGCCTCTGACCTTGGCTTTAAACCCTACGTCCTAAACCGCCAAGAAGACCGTGGAGACTTCTGGCGCCCTCGACGTCCCTTGTAAAGCCCGAAGCCCTAGCCGTGAAGACTTGTGCCCGACGCCCCTAAGCGTCCCCTAAACCAAACCCTAAACTCTAAAACCCTAGACCCTGAACCCTGAACCCTGAACCCTGAACCCTGAACCCTAAACCCCAAACCCTAAACCCTAAACCCTAAACCCTAAACCCTAAACCCTACAATCTAAGCCCTTAAACCCGAAGCTCCGAAGCTCCTCCGAAGCGCAGGTGGTCAAAGCCCAGCACAAGGCCCTCACCGTGTTCGTGTCACGGCTGCAGGGGTGCACCTTCTTTAGGCTTTAGCTAAGCCCGAAATTATCCCAAGCCCTAATCCCTGAAACCTTTATAGCTGTGGGATGTGGTCCCTTATACTAACAGTCCTTAATTGGGATTATAGTACCCCCCCCCAATATAGTAGTGCTTATTAAGAGTCCTAATAGGGATTATCGTGCCGCCCCCCACTAATAAGGACTGTTAGTAGAAGGGGAACATCCCAACTACAGCCCGTGATTTTCTGTCTGCCGCCCTGAGCTCGAATTCTAAGCTCGAAACCAAAACCCCCCAACTCCCTCAGCCCCATACACTTCAAACCCAAAGCTCCGCACCCTGACATCCCAAACCACTCATTCCTTCTAGGGGCTTCATAGGGTGCCGTGCACCTGAACCCTAACCCTAAACCCTAAACCCTAAACCCCAAACCCTAAACCCTAAAAGCCCTAAACCCTAAACCCAAAAAACCCCTAAATGCAGGGGTTCAAGGGCGTGCAGCTGAGATCATCAACCAGTTCGATCAGCTGGGGAGCCTCAAGGTGGACAAGGACCCCCCGCCCCCCCTAAATATGGGGGCCTTAAGAATTAGGGTTTAGGGTTTAGGGTTTAGGGTTTAGGGTTTAGGGTTTAGGGTTTAGGGTTTAGGGTTTCAGGGTTTCAGGGTTTCAGGGGGCCATTATGGTATAAATGTGGAGGAGCCACGTTTGGGGTTCAAGGCTCGGGGTTGAAAGGCGGCCCAGTTGCTGTTAGGGACATGGCTTTCCCTAAATCAAGTTGAGGGTTTGAGGGCTTATCAGATTTAGGGCTTCACCTGTTACCTAAATCCTAACCCTAAACCCTAAACCCTGAACCCTGAACCCTGAACCCTAAACCCTAAACCCTAAACCCTAAACCCTAAACCCTAAACCCTAAACCCTAAACCCTAAACCCTAAACCCTAAACCTCCGAGAGCTCCGAGAGCTCCGAGGACGCCTTGGGCAGAGCCATGGGCTACCGCAGCAGCGGCCACAGCATCAAGTTTTCTTGAGGGGTGTGGCGTTTAGGGTGTTAAGGGTTTAGGGTTTAGGGTTTAGGGCTGGAGTTTCAGGTTGTTTTGGGGTTTACGGTTTGGAGTTTAAGGTTTTGGGGCTTTGGACGTTTTGGGGCCTAGGGCCAAGAGGGGTCTGGGTCCCTTGTTCGTCATCTGGGTCTATCGGTCTTGGGTTTTCCACATCATTCGCCAAAGGAAAGTCGGATTCACCAACCAACGCCAACAGGAATCCGAAATTCCCTAAATTTGGAGATTCAGGGTTTGGGGTTTAGGAATTGAGGATTTAACTCGAGGGTGCAGATTGTTGGCAACAGCGGGGCCTCGAATCCCAACCCTAAACCCAAAGACCAAACCCTAAACCCAAGGTTTAAGGTTTGGGGTTTGGGGTTTAGGGCGTAGGGTTTAGGGTTTAGGGTGCTTCAAACATACTTCCTTCAAAGCCACGCGAAGAACGCGCAGTAGTACCTTTGTTTCCCCCCCCCCCCCCCGGGATGTTTGTTCCGCAATCGATCTGAATATTTCAGGGTATCCTGGGGGTGTGCGAGGTTTCTTAGACGTCAGGTTGGCATGCTCCCCTTTTACTCACAGCCCCTTTTTTGAGGGGTTATAATGGGGATTATAGTCCCCCGACTAGAATCCCTATGAAGGTTTTTCTTAGCATCCCAAAGTTCAGATTTGTACGGATTTTGGGGGCTCCTTGAGCTTCAGGGGATCATCGGGGAAAGCCGAGGGGTTTAGGGTTTAGGGTTTAGGGTTTAGGGTTTAGGGTTTAGGGTTTAGGGTTTAGGGTTTAGGGTTTAGGGTTTAGGGTTTAGGGTTTAGGGATCATCGGGGAAAGTTTCGGATGCTGGCCAGGCACGCAGGCGCAGGGGAAGCCGAGCAAGAAGGAGGAGAAGGCTGCTCAAAGCCCTTAGAAAAGCCCGAGGGCGCCGATTTCCCACACCCCCAAAACCCTAACGGCCTGAGAGTTTAGGCTTTAGGGTTTGCCTAAAATTCCTAAAGCTGGGGGAAACCTGAGCCCCTTTTCTTTGCTCGTTTCATCATCCCCCTCCCAGCCGAAAAAAGAAAGCTAACGCTGCCACCGATGTAACCCTGCCCCTGTTTGGAGGCCTAAACCCTAAACCCTAAACCCTAAACCCTAAACCCTAAACCCTAAACCCTAAACCCTAAACCCTAAACCCTAAACCCTAAACCCTAAACCCTAAACCCTAAACCCTAAACCCGAAACCCTAAACCCTAAACCCTAAACCTGAACCCAGTTCATGGGTACCGTGAGGCCCCCCGGAGCCGCGAAGCCTCAAGCACTTGTAATCCCTAAACCCTAAACACAAACCCTAGACCTTAGACACGGAATTAAGCCCCAAACCCAAAACCCTAAAACTTCAACCCAAAACCCCAAACCTTAAACCCTAAACCCCGAAACAACCCAAACCCTGCTGAAATGCTCGCTTCCTCCGTAGTTTGGGGTTTCGGGTTTAGGGTTTGGGTTTAGGGTTTAGGGTTTAGGGTTTAGGGTTAGGGTTTAGGGCTTGTCAGATCCCTGCCAAAAACCCTCGAACCCTGACAAAACACTAAGCCTTGAGGCGCTTATTCATCCCTCAAGCCGAAACCCGACTGCGGGAATATGTGGAACACCGCCTCCTTAAATATGGGATCCGGGACCCACCCTAAACCCAAAACCCCCAACCCCAAACCCCAAACCCCCAAACCCCAGACCCCAAATCCTAAATCCTAAACCCCACAAACCCTACAACCCTAAACCCTAAACCCTAAGCCCCCAAAACCCTAAACCCTAAACCCCTAAACCCTAAACCCTAAACCCCTAAACCCTAAACCCTAAACCCTAAACCCTAAACCCTAAACCCCAAAAGCCCTAAACCCTAAACCCTAAACCCCTAAAACCCTAAACCCTAAACCCTAAGCCCCAAAAACCCTAAACCCCTAAAACCCTAAACCCTAAACCCTAAACCCTAAGCCCTAAGCCCTAAAAACCCTAAACCCTAAGCCCTAAGCCCTAAACCCTAAACCCCTAAACCCCTAAACCCCTAAACCCCTAAACCCCTAAACCCTAAACCCTAAACCCTAAACCTTAAACCCTAAACCCTAAACCCCTAAACCCCAAAAGCCCTAAACCCTAAACCCTAAACCCTAAACCCTAAACCCTAAACCCTAAACCCCTAAACCCATTGAGCTGCTCCATGGCAGGAGGCCTCGAGCAAGGCTGCGGCCCAGCGTGCCCCGGCCCGGAATTTCAGGGCACCGGCTCGAAGCCCCACCAGACTCCGCTTTAGGGTTTAGGGTTTAGGGTTTAGGGTTTAGGGTTTAGGGTTTAGGGTTTAGGGTTTAGGGTTTAGGGTCTAGGGTCTAGGGTCTAGGGTTTTGGGTTTAGGGTTTAGGGTTTAGGGTTTAGGATTAGGGTTTAGGGTTTAGGGTCTAGGGTTTAGGGTTTAGGGTTTAGGGTTTAGGGTTTAGGATTAGGGTTTAGGGTTCAGGGTTTTAGGGTTCACTTTTGAATAGGGTTTTAACTTGGATTTAGGGTTTGTAGGGTTGTAATAATCAGGACTTAGGGCTTAGGGTTTCTTTAGGGTTAAGGTTCTGTAGGGTGCAGGACTCGTTCGGTTGTTTAGGGCTTCAGGTTTCAGGGGGCTGAAGATCTCAGGGTGGGAGGTTGGAATGGCTAAGGTTGAATATCTGAAGTCTTAAGAAATTGTGAAGGCCTTGTTGCTGTTAGGTTTGAGAGTTCAGGGTGTAACGGATGCATACATTTTATATTCTTAATTTGGCGGACTTCTTTTTTGCGTGCCTTACTTAAAAAGAACAAAAACGCCAGACCTGGGTGTACATCATCTTTTTGGGTTGTTGAGAACACAACCCAATGCCCTGCATTTTTTTTACGTTTCTGTTTTCCCCAGCAGGGGCCCGGAAAGGAACCTGCCAAACACCCACCAGCCCTCGAAGAAGAACGCATAACGATCCACGGGCCCGAAAGCCCTAAGCCCTAAGCCCTAAACCCTGGGAGGAACCAAACCGAGTAGCAAGACCTCCTCGCAGCTCCCTCAGATAGATGTCTTTGGGTTTAGGGTTTAGGGTTTAGGGCTTAGGGCTTAGGGCTTAGGGCTTAGGGCTTCGGGTTGAGGGTTTAGGGTTGAGGGTTGAGGGTTGACGGTTTTCCGGCTTGGCCTTCGGGGCGAGTCCGCATTGAGGGTTCAGGGTTCAGCCGGGCATGCGGGTTGATTGTGCAGAGTCTTGGGGTTTTCAGGCTTAGGGTTTCCTCACGGTTTAGGGTTTACAAGGTTTAGGGTTTATAGGGTTGAGGTGTTTGCAAGGTTTGGGGTTCAGAAGTTTGTAAGGTTTAGGATTTACAAGGACTCTTTGTTTTAAGGGGTAGGGTATTGGGTTTAGGGTATTGGGTTTGGGGTATTGGGTTTAGGGTTTATGGTGTTTGGTTTGAGGAGTGCAGCATGCAATGTGGTTTTGCGGTCCTGGATTTTTGTTGCCTTCTTGAGGGATTTCCGCCGGGAGTTTGCTGGTGCTTATGCGCTGATGTGCCCCTCCACTGACCCTAAACCCTAAACCCGAAACCCTAAACCCTAAACCCTAAACCCTAAACCCTAAACCCTAAACCCCTCCATTGAGTCTTGACACTGGGGCGTTTTTTTTTCCACTCACTCCATTTTACCCTTGAAGCCCGAGACCTTGTTGCAGAAGAGGACACATCGACTCGCAGTTTTAGGGTTTAGGGTTTAGGGTTTAGGGTTTGGGGATGCCCGACTGAGGTTCGAGGGGCTTTTCGGGTTTTTTCGGTTAAGGGTTGCGGGGTTTAGGGTTCAGGTTTTGTTTGGGATTTGCCGCTTAGGCTTTCGGGGGTCAAGGGTTCAGGGGTTTAGGGTGTATGTAGGCCCCGGAAGCCGTACAAGCCTTGACTGAGCACTGCAAGCCCTGAGCCCTATGAGCTCTAGACCCGATGACGCTATACCCCATGAGACCTACTGAATCTAACCCTAAACCCTAAACCCTAAACCCTAAACCCTAAACCCTAAACCCTAAACCCTAAACCCTAAACCCTAAACCCTAAACCCTAAACCCTAAACCCTAAACCCTAAACCCTAAACCCTAAACCCTAAACCCTAAACCCCCTAAACCCTAAACCCTAGACCCTAGACCCTAGACCCTAAACCCTAGACCCTAAACCCTAAACCCTAAACCCTAAACCCTAAACCCTAAACCCTAAACCCTAAACCCTAAACCCTAGACCCTAAACCCTAAACCCTAAACCCTGAACGACCCTATAAGGTCAAGCTTTGAAGTTGGGCACTGGGTGGAGATCCTTCGCCAGGGTGAGCGCGCCGGCGGTGGCAGGCCCTGGCTCCCCCCAAAGGAAGGGTTTAGGGTTTCGGGTTTCGGGTTTGGGTTTTAGGCAAAGAGTTGGTTCACGATTGGGGTTTCGGATTGAGGGTTATGTAGGGTTTTCCGGTTATCAGGTTAGAGGTTTCCGGTTACTTTTTGGGGCTTGGGGTTTTGGTATGGTGACCTGAGGGTTTAGAGTGTGGGCTCAGTGTCGCGGATGGCGTGATGTAGGGAAACTCGAAGACGTGCACAGTGGAGTCGGTTTGTCAAGGCTTTCAAAGGGATTCTCATGTGTGAGGCGCACCGCCGGCACGGAGATTAGTGCTCGGATTTGCACAGGTTTGGAGACTTAGTGAATCCTGGGTTGCTCTGTTCGATAGCCTGTTCGGACAAGTCCTGATACCCTCTGAAGCCCCAGATTTGCCCGCAAACCCTAAACCCTAAACCCTAAACCCTAAACCCTAAACCCTAAACCCTAAACCCTAAACCCTAAACCCTAAACCCTAAACCCCAAACCCTAAACCCTAAACCCTAAACCCTAGAAGTTGCAAAGCCGGGTTCCCTGGAAGCCTAGAAGCCAATGACTTGAAGACCAGTCAAGCTCCGACGCCCCCCTTCTCTAGCCTCAATGCCCAAACCCTGAGACTAAACCCTAAACCCTAAACCCTAAACCCTAAACCCTAAACCCTAAACCCTAAACCCTAAACCCTAAACCCTAAACCCTAAACCCTAAACCCTAAACCCTAAACCCTAAGACCCTCGACCCGAAGAGGCTAAGACCCTCAAACCCTCAGACCCTCAGACCCTCAGACCCTCAAACCCTCAAACCCTCAAACCCTCAAACCCTCAGACCCTCAGACCCTCAGACCCTAAGACCCCAAGCCCTAAGACCCTCAAGCCCCAATCTGTCAAGTCCTAAGCCCTCAACCCTAGCCGACGACCCATCACAAGGAACGCCGTCATCGAGGAGATGCCAGCGATAAGGGGCGGGGAGGCACGGCAAACCCCCTAAACCCCAAGCCCAGAACCCCTGAACCAACCCTAAACCCTAAGCCCTAAACCCTAAACCCTGAACCCTGAACCCTGAACCCTGAACCCTGAACCCTAAACCCTGAAACCCTAAACTCAGAACCCTAAACCCTAAACCCCAAAACCCCAAGCCCCGAAGCCCTCAAACCTCCCCCCAAACCCCAAACCCAAAAACCCCAACACCCCAAAACCCCAAACCCCCTTAGGGCTGGGGTTTAGGGCTAGGGTTTAGGGCTAGGGTTTAGGGCTAGGGTTTAGGGCACTCCCCCCGCCCCTCCCCAAAAAAGGTGCAGCTGCGGACTCCTGGTGGCGCGCTCGAGGCAGGTTGCTGGACGCTCGAGACCGGGATGGGGCTTCTAGTTTCTAGTCGCTTACAGGGCTTTAGGGTTTAGGGTTTAGGGTTTAGGGTTTAGGGTTTAGGGTTTAGGGTTTAGGGAGGGCTTATAGGGGTCATATAGGGGTTATGTAGGGTTTTACGGGTTGTGCAGGGTTTATCGGGTTTGGGATTTATCGGGTTTGGGGCTTATGGGGGTGTAGGGGTGCAGAGTTTTAGGGGCTCTTTCGGGTTTACTATCCGTTTATCTGGAAAGGGGTTTAGGGTTTTAAGGCTTTCCTGATTTTAGCTCCAAGCACGGAGCCTACGGGACTTTTAAAGAGAAAACGAGAATGTTGGGATGTTCCCCCTCATACGTACCCCCTACTATAATCCTTATTAAGGACTGTAAGGACTGTTAGCATAAGGAGGAACATCCCAAGGAGAATGCAAACACGGTGAGGCTAAACCCTAAACCCTCTATAACCCTAAACCCTCTATAGCCCTAAACCCCTAAATCCTAAACGCTAAACCCTAAACCCTAAACCCTAAACCCTAAACCCTAAACCCTAAACCCTAAACCCTAAACCCTAAACCCTAAACCCTAAACGCCAAGCCCTCCCCCGTGAGGCGCACCCGCTCAAGCGCCTGAAGTCCGCGCACCTCTGGAGAAAAGGCCCCAGGGATGGGAACCGATCTGGGGGCCTCAAGGGACCAAACAAGGGACCCTTATAAGGGACCTTGGGGTTTAGGGTTTGGGTTTAGGGTTTAGGGTTTAGGGTTTAGGGTTTAGGGTATATGGTTTAGGGTTTAGGGTTTTTGGGTTTAGGGTTTAGGGTTTAGGGTTTAGGGTATGGAACGACAGAGAACAAGCACTCCGAAGAGACAGAAGCGGAGGATCAGAAGATGTGTAAAGTCGTGGTCAAGAATGACGCATGGACTACTCACATCGTCCTTGAGATCTTCGCTTTGTTGATGAGGATGTGGAAAATCAAGTAGCTGGGTGACCGTCATCGGCTCAGCCTCGGGTGGTTATTTAGGGGTAATTCTAGGGGCTACTTCGGTGTATAGGGACTATATAAGGTATATAAGGATTTGAGAGGAGGAATAAGATTCAGGGTCTTCTAGGCGGCCCTCCTTATACCCCTTAAGGGGGGGGCTTTCGGTTCTCGGGTTACTAGGATGCCCTGTAGTACCATGGACCCCTTGAAGCAAAAAAGGGCACCCTTTTGAATCCTAGGTTACTTGGCAGCCCAGGTTAAGAAGTTAAGGGGACACGCTGTATGGCATGATCGAGCGCAAGAAGTATCCCTCGACATGGATCGGGCATGCCGTCCCCACAAATGAGGGGCAGCACAACGTGCCTAAACCCTAAACCAAAACCCTAGACCCTAGACCCTAGACCCTAAACCCTAAACCCTAAATCCTAAACCCTAAACCCTAAACCGCTCCTCCGTGCGGACACACCTCCTGGCGCCAAGCTCCTTGCCAAGAGCCGCCACCTTGAGGGTTCAGAGCTCAAAGGGTTTAGGGTTTAGGGTTCAGGGTTCAGGGTTTAGGGCTTAGGGCTTAGGGTTAGGACTTGGGATGTAGGGTATAGCGCTTGAAGGGTTTAGGGCTTGGAGCTTCGGCTTACAAAAGGGGTCTTGCGGCCAGGGTTGAAAGGGGCTTCAATCAACATTCAGGTACATGGGCCCTAAAGCCTCGACCCTAAGCTTTAAAAGGACTTTTTAAATGAATGTAAACCCTAAACCTTAAGCTTTAGCAGGACTTTGACTTTAGCAAATGAATGTAAGCCCTAGCTAAACCCGAAAAGCCGTTTGGGGCTCGCCGGCTGCCCCCCAAGTCCTGAAAGCCCGATCATAAAGCAATGCGCGTAAGCAGCGTTTGGAAGGGTCATGGGTTTAGGGTTTGGAGGGGCATCTCGGATTTAGGGTTGGCGTTGGGGGTTTTTGGGCTAAAGTGAACCTGGTAAACCTGAAGCCGCGTTCGCTGCAACCCCAAACAAGCCCTGTGACCCCCGAACACAACTTTTATACGCTGAACTCTGAACCCCCTGGAGCCCCCCCAAACCCTGAACCCTGAACCCTGAACCCTAGACCCTAAACCCTTGAAACCCTAAACCCTAAACCCTAAACCCGAATCCCCAAACCCTAAACCCTAAACCCTTCACCCCTAAACTCTCAATCCTACCCCCTGAGCCCTTGAAACCTAAAGCCCTCAAGCCCCAACCCCTGTCAATCGCAAACTATCTGCTTGGACTTCAACCAGACCCATCAAACCTCCAAAACCCCCAAACCCCAGAACCCCAAAAAACAAAAACCCAGACCCCAAACCCCAGAACCCCAAGACAACAAAAGACCCAGAACCGCAAAATCCCAGAGCCCCCCAAAACCAGACTGTTTAAACCCCAAGCCGCAAGCCCTAAACCATAGCCCCTAAACTCTAACCCGAGTCGTCAACTCAACTCGAAGCCCTAAACCCCAAGCCCCAAACCCCTCAATCCTAAGCCCTAAGCCCCAAATCCCTGAAGCCTCCTAAACCCCTCAACCCTAAACCCTAAACCCTAAACCCTAAACCCTAAACCCTAAACCCCAAACCCTAAACCCTAAACCCTAAGAAGCCCTCCCTGAAACCCGACAAGCGCCAGTGCCAGGCCAGCACGTCCAGGCAAAGATTGAAGGCGGGGTCTTTGCAAGAGTCCTTGGGTTTTTGCAGGTTTACGGTTAGGGTTTAGGGTTTAGGGTTTAGGGTTTAGGGTTTAGGGTTTAGGGTTTAGGGTTTATATAGGGTTTAGGGTTTAGGGTTTTCTAGGGCAGATGCGGGGTATATTAGAGTTCCCCAATCAAGGGCTCCATATTTGGGAGTGTATATAAGGTTCCTTTTTAATATTGGTGAGTGTATATACCTGGTGTCCTTTTGGGGGTACAAGAAATATATCCCTAAACCCTAAACCCTATATAAACCCTAAACCCTAAACCCTAAACCCGAAACCCTAAACCCTAAACCCTAAACCCTAAACCCTAAACCCTAAACCCTAACGGTAAACCCTACTTCATATGAAGCTTTAGGGTTTTGGGGGCTGGCGCGGGCTTGGTCGGGTCAAGCGCTCTGTTTCGACTGGGTTCTGATGTCCAGAAACCCTAAACCCTAAACCCTAAACCCTAAACCCTAACCCTAAACCCTAAACCCTAAACCCTAAACCCTAAACCCTAAACCCTAAACCCTAAACCCTAAACCCTAAACAAGCTGAAAGCCCAAAAAAGCCCTTGAAGCCCTTTAGAATTGCAGGCCCTTGAATTTCTTTTCGGCTCAGCGGCCCAGGCTTGAGGGTTGAGTGTTTAGGGTTGAGGGTTTGGGATTTGGGGTTTAGGGTTTGGGGTTTGGGGTTAGTGTTCGGCCTTCCCTTGGCAAAAGAAACCCAGCCTGGAGCTGCAGGCAAGTGGGAGATGGGAAACATCCTGACCGACATGATACTGCCCAAGGAGGCAGAGTCCTCAGCCTGACAAGAGCTGAGAATCCCCCCCCCCCCCCCCCCCCCGCAAGCCCTGAGCCCTAAACACTTAAAGCCTCAAACCCGAAACCCTAGACCCCAAACCATAAACCCCTAAAACCTTAAACTCCAAACTCCAAACCCTAAACCCTAAACCCCAAACCTTAAACCCTGAACCCTGAACCCTTGAACCCCTTGAAGCTGTTGGGTCTCTAACGTGTCATGTCGGGGTGCCGCATTGCAGTGCGGACGCAGAAACGGATTCTTAGGGTTTAGGGTTTAGGGTTTAGGGTTTAGGGTTTAGGGTTTAGGGTTTAGGGGTTTACGGGTTTACGGGTGAAGAGGAAAACCCCTGAACCCTGAACCCTACTTGGAGGTTCATGGGTACTTATAACCACAATTATACATCTACTTATATCCCGACTTCGGGGACTTAGGGGGCTTCTAAGTACAGTTACAATTGGGGTTATACGTACCCCTGAACCCTAAACCTTAACCCTAATTTCAGAAGGGTCCAGGATGTAAAGAGCTGTCCATCCGATCAGCGGGGCACGCTCAAATCCCCTACTGTGTGGTAGCCCCTCCGCCCCCCCCCCCCCCCCACTCCCCGACGCCGCCCGTGCTGGATTCCTAATATTGAAACCGGCGTCTTGAGGCTTTAGGGTTGAGAGGGTTCAGGATTTAGGGTTCGGGGTTTTTAAGGTTTATAGGCTATAGGGTTGAAAGGGCCTACAGGGTTTACAGGGTTGAAAGGGTTTGCAGGTTTTATAGGGTCTGCAGGATTTACCGGGTTTGTAGAGTTTATGTTTTGTCGCGACCGAAGATCAAGGCAAAACTTGCAGGAGAGCGAGCAGCACTGGTTGAGATTGAGTAGATTGCCGAGTGTCAAAAGAATGAGAGAATCAGAGCTGCTACATCAATGACGACAACGATGAGGCTGCACACATGCAAGTGAAGCTAGACTTAGTTGTAGAGTAGGTCACCTTTAACCTTTTTTTGGGGTACTACAACCCCCTTATAATCCCAAAGGTTAACCTTTCGTTCCCCACTGGACAACTAGGTAGATGGTATTGCTGCGAATGTCCACTTGCAAACCCTAAACCTTAAACCCTAAACCCTAAACCCTAAACCCTAAAATCCAAGGAGGAAGGGCCGCGAGGTGGCCGAAGGGCTTGCCCAGTTCCAGAACTGTCATGGGGTTCCCCTACTACCTCCCTCTGTACTACCCCCCCCCTAGGCCCCCCCCCCCCCGATAGTGAAGGCTATTTGGGGATAAGTAAGCCGAATTAAGGAAAATTAAGGGGGAACCTAGGGGGGATAATTAAGGCCATTTAGGGGTAAGTAAGCCGAATTAAGGTTATTTAAGGGGGTTTCTGGGGGTGAGTAGTTTGGAGGGCGTAGGAGGGGAACCCGTGAGAATGTGAGGCTCGCCGGTGATGTGGGCGATGCTCGCATCAGAGTCAGGGCATGAGGCGATCAAGGTTGCACCACAGCGACGACGGCACTTTGATTTGTAGGCTTTGTAGGGTCCCTAAACCCTAAGCCCTAAGCCCTAAGCCCTAAGCCCTAAGCTCTAAACCCTAACCCCTAAACCCTAAGCCCTAAACCCTAAACCCTAAACCCTAAACCCTAGGATGTATAAGGTCTATAGGGGTTTACAGGGTTTATATATGTCGAAGGCTCATTGGAAGTCCCACGGCCTCTCCCGATGTTATTGGCGTAGACCGCGGCCTTGCCTGCGGCAGCTAGATCCCTGGGCTTGGGGATCAGGGTTTGGGGTTTAGGGTTTAGGGTTTAGGGTTTAGGGTTTGGGGTTTACGGTTTAGGGTTTGGAGTTTAGGGGTTTAGGGTTTAGGGTTTCCGAGCTCATTTTGTCCTAAACCCCAACCCCCTTGAGGGGAGTTCAAGGGATGCTCTCCGCATAGGCGCGCGTGACCTCGACGCACCCCGTCATGGTATGCCTTTGCTCCCAGAAAGCGAAGGCCAGATTTCAAGTTTAGGGTTCAGGGTTTAGGGTTTAGGGTTTAGGGTTTAGGGCTCAGGGTTCAGGGTTTATAGGGTTTATAGGGTTTAGGGTGTATAGGGTTTAGGGTTTATAGGGTTTATGGGGTTTATGGGGTTTATGGGGTTTATGGGGTTGATGGGGTTGATGGGGTTTATGGGGTTTATGGGGTTTATGGGGTTTATGGGGTTTATGGGGTTTATGGGGTTTGTGGGGTTTATGGGGTTTATGGGGTTATGGGGTTATGGGGTTTGTAGGGTTTAGGCTTAGGGGTTTACAGGGTTTATAGGGTTTGTAGATGTTTGTAGGGATTGTGAGGTTTGTGGGGTTTGTGTGTGAATCACCCTGTGGAATTTATTCAGTCACCTGCGCCCTTGATGGTTGGGCCTGTGGATTGGTAAAGGAGTCGGGACGGTTTGAAGGTGAGGCTGTTGGGTTGCAATTCGGCTTTCGGGCTTAAACCCCAAACCCTAACCCTAAACCCTTACACCCCAAAACCCTATATAAACCCTCAGCAAGCTATGTCACTATGTCGAGCAGTACCTCAGATTTCGATCACTTGGTGCTTGGGGTGACCTCAAACAACCGTTGAGCCGACACACGGTCAGGCGCAAGCAGCGGACATTTATCCGAGGATTTGGTGACAAATTTCACCACGGGCAGAGGATCCCCAATTCCAATCCCAAAGCCTTCAACTCCACGCCATAGGCGCCGGACACTCTGAGGCGTTTTAGGCAGTTTTTAAAGCAGGTGCTCAAAGCAAAGCGGAAGCTTAACGCAACAAGCACATGATACTGAGATCAGAAGTCCTGGAACCCTAAACTCTGCCTTAGGCTTGGTTTAGACTTTACATTGTCCTGCCCCTCTTCCAAAAGGAGCTTCGGCCTCCTTGAAGGATTTAGGGGTTAGGGTTCAAGGTTCAGGGTTCAGGGTTCAGGGTTTAGGGTTTGGGGTTTAGGGTTTATGGTCCAGGGTCCAGGGTCCAGGGTTTAGGGTTTATGGTAGGTGGTGAGACCCCCACCCCCGTACAGCAATGCCGGCTCAGCCCGGAACCCTAAACCAACGAAAGCAAAGCGCAAGCTCCACCCGAAGCCCAATTGTAGTTGCAACATGGCTTTTTTCATAACTTATGAAGCCACTAAGTATGTCTGTATTGGGAGGGCTAACCCAACGTACTACAAACGGACGAATACCCCTAAACCCTAAACCCTAAACCCTAAATCCCTAAACCCTAAACCCTAAACCCTAAACCCTAAACCCTAAACCCTAAACCCTAAACCCTAAACCTTAAACCCCTAAACCCTAAACCCTAATTCCTAACCCTGCACCCTTGGAACATCAGCAGATGAACCCGCCGACAAGGTGGCCACAGTGGACTTTCAACACGTTCGGCCCCCAGGCCAGCGAAGGGGAAAAGGAGCCAGGGCATCGAGCTAAGCGGATTAGGGTTTAGGGTTTAGGGTTTGGGGTTTGGGGTTTAGGGTTTGGGGTTTAGGGTTTAGGGTTTGGGGTTTAGGGTTTGCGTGTTTAGGGTTTAGGGCTATAGGGCTTAGAGGGCTTACAGATAGGGCTGAGGGTGCTTAGGAGCTTAGGGTTTAGGGTTTGGGGACATCAGGCTTTGCAGCTGAGGGCTTGGGACTGATAAATCTTATCATAACTTTGAGGTTTAGGGTTAGGGTTTAGGGTTTAGGGTTTAGGGTCTCCAGGGTTTTAGGGTTCAGGGTTTAGGGTCATCTGGGTTGAACCACCCACGGAGAAGTCATCCAGCACACCCCCCCAACAAACCTTGCATCCTGTGGGACAGCAGACTAAAGCACCCTAAACCCTAAACCTGTCAGACCCTCTGCAATCCTAGCTTAAACCCTAAACCTAAACCCTAAACCCTTTAAACCCTAAACCCTAAACCCTCTAAACCCCCTAAACCCCCTAAACCCCCTAAACCCCCCAAACCCCCTAAACCCCCTAAACCCCCTAAACCCCCTAAACCGCCTAAACCCCCTAAACCCCCCAAACCCTCTAAACCCCCTAAACCCCCTAAACCCCCTAAACCCCCTAAACCCCCCGCAATCTCCTCGGCAGGCCGGTCCGAGTCCAGCGGCCAAGCCGGCGCGGGCGAGCGCCCCTCCAGCAGCACCCGGGCTCCAGTGGGGTTTTGGGGTTTCGGGGTTTCGGGTTTGGGGTTTAGGGTTTAGGGTTTGGGTTTTCGGGTTTAGGGTTTAGGGTTTGGGGTTTAGGGTTTGGGGTGGAGGGTTTGCGGTTTCTTGCGGGTTCCTGTGGCGAGGATTGTCGTGCATTTTTGGGGATCCTTATTTTGGGAAATGCCCCATCTCTGCAATTCAGGGTTTAGGACTTTTTCAGGGTGTAAACTTGCTAGGCCCTAAACCCCAAACCCTAAACCCCAAACCCGAAACCCTAAACCCTAAGCCCTAAGCCCTAAGCCCTAAACCCGAATCACATGGAATTTCACCGTTCGGGCTACAGGCTTCTGTTATGTTTTGAGATGCCGTGTCCCGAAGCCCCAAGAAGATTTGATCCCTAAGCTCTAAACTCTAAACCCCACAGCCTAAACTCCAAACCCTAAAGCTTAGACTCTGAACCCTAAGCCCTGAACTCCAAGACTCTCAGCCCTAAACCCTAAGCCCTGAACTCGAAGACTCTAAGCCCTAAGCCCTAAGTCCTCAGCCCTAAACCCTAAACCCTAACCGTCCTAACCCTAAACCATCCTAAACCCTAAGCCCTAACTACCTGGTTCTCGGATGTTGCGGAGGCTTTGGGGTTGTCCTCAGCCTTTCTCACCTCGGGGGCCTTATGCAGCACCTCGTTTGGTGTTTAGGGTTTCGGAGTTAAGACAACATGGGCAAAACATGTGTGTACGTGTATATGTTATATACACACATATATATATATATGTATGCATGCAACATACATGCATGCAGCATACATGCATCATGCATCATGGGGCATACTGTTTCCTTGATATGGTCACCTACTTCGAAGTTCCTTTGCAGCAGCCCAGTCAAATCCGAAGCTATCACCCTAAACCCTAAACCCTAAACCCTAAACCCTAAACCCTAAACCCTAAACCCTAAACCCTAAACCCTAAACCCTAAACCCTAAACCCTAAACCTAAACCATAAACCCTAAACCCTAAACCCTAAACCCTAAACCCTAAACCCTAAACCCTAAACCCTAAACCCTAAACCCTAAACCCTAAACTCTCAACCCTAAACTCTAAACCCTAAACCCTAAACCCTAAACCCTAGACCCTAGACCCTAGACCCTAGACCCTAGACCCTAAACCCTAAACCCTAAACCCTAAACCCTAAACCCTAAACCCTAAAACCCTAAACCCTAAACCCTAAACCCTAAACCCTAAACCCTAAATCCCGAACCCGAAACGAGGTCGCAGTGTCATAGAGGTCAAGTGACGCCACCGAACAGTGACCTTGAACTGAGCTTGAAATCGGCTCCAAACCCTAATTCCCAAAACCCCAGAACCCCCAAAACCCTAAAGCCCTAAAATCTTAAAACCCTAAAACCTAAAGCCTTAAAGCCCTACAACCCTACAGAATCTTAAAACCCTAAACCCCTAAAACCCTAAACTCCAAACCCTACATGGGTTGCCGTGGCTTCATTGTTTGTCGGGTTCGGGACGCGACTGCCCGTGGCCCGCTTCGCAGCAAAGAGCGCGTGCCTTGCGCTTGGTGAGGGCCAAAGATTTCAGGGTTTGGAGTTTAGGGTTTAGAGTTTGGGGTTTAGGGTTTAGGGTTTGGGGTTTAGGGTTTAGGGTTTAGGGTTTAGGGCTGGGAGGTTGATCGTTTGGGGTTTGGGGTTCAGGGGGTTCCGAGTCTTTGGTTCGGGGTCGAGGTTGTCGGTTTTAGGGCTTTTATGGGAACCAGGCTTGGCGTTTCCCCATCCCCTTTTGCATGGACGCCCTACCAAGAAGGACTCGGGAACTTGGAGTTTCTGTCGGCTACAAGGCTTCTTTGGTAAACCCCAAACCCTAAACCCTAAACCCTAAACCCTAAACCCTAAACCCCTAAACCCCTAAACCCCTAAACCCTAGAACCCAAGCCTGTTGGGGGTTCAGGGTTGGTGCTTGAGGGCTTAGGTTTCAGGTTCTTGGGGGTTTAGGGGTTTTGGCACCCTAAACCCTAAATACTAAACCCTAAACCCTAAACCGGGGTTTAGGGGTTTTGGCTTCAGGGAGGGGTATGAGATTTTGGAGGCTGAGGTTAAGGATGTAGGGGCTTAGGGGAACCTTCAACCCTAAACCTCAAGAACCCCCCCAAGCCCTAAAACCTGACTCCATCTCCCATTTCCTACACCCCTGAAGGACCCTAAAACCCTGAAAAATCTCACCCTAAACCCTAAACCCTAAACCCTAAACCCTAAACCCTAAACCCTAAACCCTAAACCCTAAACCCTAAACCCTAAACCCTAAACCCTAAACCCTAAACCCTAAACTCCCCAACCCGAAACCCTAGCCCTTTCAACCCCTAACCCCTAAACCCTCAACTCCTCAACTCCTGAACCCGAACTCTTGCCCGAAATCCTAAACCCTAAACCCTCTAAACCCTAAACCCTAAACCCTAAACCCTAAATCCTAAACCCTAAACCCTAAACCCCAAACTTCCTGGCCGACTTTGGCTCGGATGCCGGCTCCAGAAACTCTGAGAGCTTACAGAGATGCTGGAGCCCTTCGGCCTTTTCGTATGGGGTGGGTTTGGGGTTTGGGGTTTGGGGTTTGGGGTTTAGGGTTTAGGGTTTAGGGTTTAGGGTTTAGGGTGTAGGGTTCAGAGTGAGGGTTTAGGTTTTAGGGTTAGGGTGGTCTTCTGCGTGTAGGTGCAAGGTTCAGGAGGCTTTGTTCAGGGTCATGGGTTTCTTTTGAACCCAGGTTTTGTTTCTTTGCCTGGGGGGGGGGGGGGGGGGGGGGGGGGGGGGGTTTTTCGAGACCCTAAACCCTAAACCCTAAACCCTAGACCCTACAATGAATCCATGGACTGATAGTTCGCTGGCTGGGGCCCTTACGCATACAGCCCCCAAAAGGCTGGTTTAGGGTTTAGGGTTTAGGGTTCAGGCTATAGGGTTTAGGGTTTAGGATTTGGGGTTTAGGGTTTAGGGTAGGGTTTCGGGTTTAGGGTTCAGGGTTCAGGGTTCAGCGTTTAGGGTGTAGGGTTTAGGGCGACTGAAATCAAAGCTCCGGGCGGGCCCAGGCTACAGTTGCATTACCTGCCCGACATCCTCAGCCATCTGAGCCGTTTTCATCTAGAATGCTAACACATCAACAGTAATCTAGGTAGGCCCCTGGGTTGTTTTAAGAGGATCATCTTCCGGAATATTTTCCAGAGGGTTTCAAGGGCCATCCCAGTAATGCATCAACAGTAGCAGTAGGGGCGAGAATCTTAACACGCAAAACAACGTTAGCATATCAAAAGCAGTAGCAGTAATTGCAAGAGTACTGAAAGCTCATCCAACCGATAATTCTAGCAAGCTGCATGATAGTACTCGCGCTAGTAAGGCATCTCTACTTCAACCACAAAGTCGCAAACAAAAACTTACGGGCCAAGGAAATCTAAACCCTAAACCCGAAACCCTAAACCCTAAACCCTAAGGCCTAAACCCTAAGGCCTAAGACGTAAGGCCTAAGCCCTAAGCCCTAAGGCCTAAGGCCTAAGCCCTCTAAGCCCTCTAAGCCCTCTAAGCCCTCTAAGCCCTCTAAGCCCTCTACGCCCCCTAAGCCCTCTAAGCCCTCTAAGCCCTCTAAGCCCTCTACGCCCCCTAAGCCCTCTAAGCCCTCTAAGCCCTAAGGCCCTGAGCTCAAAAGCCCTAAGGCCCCGGCTGAGTGGGGCGGTGCGGGAGTCGAGCTGGCGACAAGGCGGCCGAGGTGCTTTCTTGGGATTTCGGGTTTAGGGTTTAGGGTTTTTGGGGGAGGTTTTTTTTTTTTTTGGGGGGGGGGGGGGGGTCTTGGGGGTTGTGGGGTGGGCGTTTCCGGGGGCGGTTGTTAGGGGCTGCTGATGGCATAAATTCTAGGTTTAGGATCCCAAGCCCGAAGCCCCAAAGCCTGAATCCCTAAGCCCTGCACCCCAAACCCTATACAACCCTTCAACCCTTGGACCCTTGAGAGTTTTTTTCGCAGTTTTGGGTTCAGGGTTGTAGAATTCAAAAAGCCAGCCCTCAGCCTCCTTCGTCCGCCCCTCAACCCTGACATGGGTCCAGGGTTTAGGGCTTGGGGATTACAGGGAATTCGGGGGGTTGTTAGAGGTTTAGGGTAGGGAATTCGGGGTTTCGGCTTGAGGGTTTGGGGTTTAGGGTTAGGAATTCCGGGGTTTAGGGTTTAGGGTTTAGGGGTTTTGCTGCCACAAAGGCCCCCCCCCCTCCCCAACTCCCCAAAAAGCGCTCCTGGAGCCAGGCTACACCTATGCCTCCTTACTCTCGGAGTCGTCTCCCCGCGAGCGGAGCGGCGGCTCTCCGGCCGCGCAGGCGCGCAACAACGCTCGTCCGTTGCTTTAAGGGCCTTCGGGCCTATTAGTATTATTATTATTATTATGATTATTATCATTTTTGTTACTATTATTATTATTATTATTGATTTTACTATTTTTTAGGTATTCTTATTATTATTTGCTTTAAGGGCCCTCGGGCTTCGGGGGGTTTTAGAGTTTTGAGGCTTAGGGGGTGTAGGGCTTGAGGGGTTTCCTTTAAGGGCCTTAGGGGGTTTAGGGCTTTTAAGGGCTTAGGGCTCAGGGGTTTTAAGGGCTTTCAGGGTGTTTTGGGGTTTCGGGCTTGAGGGTTTGAGGTTTTTCAGGGTTTGAGGGTCTTAGGTCTTCAGGAATCTTGGGAGCGGGCTTGGGGTTCAGAGTTTGGAGGGGTCCTATACCCTAAACCCCTAAACTCTACACCCTAAACCCGAAACTCTAAACCCTAAACAATACCCGAAACCCTCAACCCAACCCTCAGCCCTCAGCCCTCAGCCCTCAACCCTCAGCCCTCAACCCTCAACCCTAGACCCGAAACCCTAAACCCTAAACCGCCAGGGTTTAGGGTTTGGGGTTTTGGGTTCCAAGCTCGGGTGCGGCGCATTGTCGCTTCCGGGCCATCAGCACGTTCTCCACGCCCATGTCGACCCGTATCTGCAACCTGAGCCAGAAAGCTTTGGAGAACAGGGTTTAGGGTTTAGGGTTTAGGGTTTAGGGTTTAGGGTTTAGGGTTTAGGGTTTAGGGTTTAGGGTACCGCAGGACCAGTTTGTGGGCCTTGCAATCGGCGCCGATGAGCTTTGACTCCGTCGCATACGCAAAGCAGGGGATGCCTTGAATCGCAAGTACTGATTGATACCACTAGGCGCTTCGAAAGTCGCGTCGGTTTGGGCTTTTTCGGACGACATATCTGAAGTGTTGTGCTACGTTAGACTTCGGAAGCAGAATGATGCTTGCCCAATCTTAAACGTGGGCGTACTGTTGTCCAAAGGAGCTTTCAGATGATCATTGAACCCAAAGCCAAAAACTCGAATGAACCCCACAGAGCCCTAAGCCCTTAGTAGCCCTGACCCCCCTGCATCCGAAATCTAAAAAGGCCCTGAAAAGAACCTAAACAAGACATCCGAAACCTGAGAAGCCCCTAAACAGGCCCTTAAACAAACATCCGAAACCTAAAATGGCCCCAAAAAAGGACTAAAAGGCCCTAAAAGGACTAAAAAGACATCCGAAATCTAAAAAGGCCCTAGAAAAGAACCTAAGAAAGTAAACCCCAAACCCCAAACCCCAACCCCCAACCCCCAACCCCCAAACCCGAAACCCGAAACCCTAAACCCTAAACCCCTAACCCCTAAACCCTAAACCCTAAACCCTAAACCCTAAACCCTAAACTAAACCCTAAACCCTAAACCCTAAACCCTAAACCCTAAACCCTAAACCCTAAACCCTAAACCCTAAACCCTAAACCCTAAGTAAAACTTAACAGGCACCCAAAAAAGTCGCCAACACAGAAAAGAGGGGCGCCTCTAAACTCCGCACATCTCCACTTGAAGGTTCATGGTACTTTTGAACTAATTATAACTGTACTTATAGGGTTTTAAGGTTTTGGGTTTAGGGTTTAGGGTTTAGGGTTAGGGTTTAGGGTTTAGGATAACTGTACTTATAACTCGAATGATAACCATATTAGGGCAATTAAGGGGCTTAGAACTTGGGTTATAAGTACATAGCCATATTAGGGCACTTCAGGGGCTGATAACTTGGGTTATAAGTACGGTTATAAATGGGTTTAGGGTTTAGGGTTTAGGGTTAGTAAGTGCCATGAACCTCCAAGCAGGCTCTGGGAGCACTCCTGGGCGCCGTGTCGGTAACGGCTCTGGTCCTCTTGGGCCTCACCAGGACCTTCGGGCGGGGGGTTTAGGGTTTCAGGGCTAGGGTTGTAGGGGTTTAGGGTTTA